CAAATAAATCAAATTGCCAAGTTTTTTTTTAACAGCCTTTGTTTATTTAGACTTAACACAAATGGATCCTCCGATAGTAAAAAAAAAAAAAATAAATAAAATAAAATAATTATAGTCTGGAAAAAAATTTAAATCAAATCCTCTATAAAAGCAGCTCTGTGAAGTATAATAAAGTGTAAATGCTATGGTTTAAAAAAATAAATAAACTGACTTCAATAGATTAAGTCCTTTGGGGGAAAAATGTTTGAAAGTGTGTTTACAAGATAAACAATACTTGAAAACGGGTTTGAGAATGTTGAGAATGTAAAATAACACTAAAAAAATAATGAATAAAAAAGGGTAATTGTTCTGACCTCACAAGTTTTCTTGATTCAAATAGTGACATTTATACAGAACAGCAACTAAATCTAATTAAAATTTCACAGATGAATGTTAGCCTGCAACTATTATCTAATTTCTGCTTGGTAAAAAAAAATGGCGTTGTGTGTCCTCAATCTGAACAAAGAATAACATCTCAGCTCGCAGCTATTGATTTGTCTGGCTGGTGGAGTCAGAAGCACACACTGTATTTTTAGGACAGACCTYATGCTTCTCTGGCGCTACAACGCTGCCCGCTTTCTATTATTTAAACCTGCTGCACAGGTCAAGGGATCGGGCTCCCTGGAAGTATTTGCCCTCTGGCCTCATCTCGCCTGATCCGGCTGTGGTAAAAAATAAAATAAAATAAATTTTTAAAAAAAAACGGAAAAAAAAAACTCGGCTGGGTCTTCATTGAAAGGTCAACAATGGCACGCCAACTTAGACAAGGCAGTTTCACTCAATTAAACTCACAATGGCTTATTTTTAATAGCTTGTGAAGTGTTTTTCCAATCCTGAGAGGCACCGGGGCTTTGGTTAATATTTTCCAGGACCGTAGAAAACAAAATATGAATATTAAAGAGTAATTTCACCATGATTGTATTTATAGCTATCTAACAGTTACCTTGTGGGCTGGAGGGAACAGAAGGCTCTAATGGCAAATTAACCCTACGCCACCTGTGAAACACTATTAAACATAAATCGATTACTTTTGTGCTTGATTGCCCCCATCAACGGACAGTGTAAATATTGATACTCGCCCTCGACCAGTCAACACAAGCAGCATGAGTGTGGGAAGCATGCAGACRGCTGATAGGAGGAATTATGGGATGTTTAAATAGTGGACTGATTCGTTTCAGTTACGTGTTGTTTTATGGGATTTGTGTGTAAAAGAGAAGGCAAACAAACCACTTCATAGATTTTTTTTTTTTTTTTTTTGCAAAGGGATGTTATGCATGCTGCTGTGGCTCGCTTTGCAACATCTGTATTCTAAAAGCACCTCCTCTCTCAATCTAGATCTAACTGCCTGAAGCCTCTGCCACACAGGAGCTGGAGGGGGAAGCTGAGAAGAATACTTACAAGCCTCCACCTCTGCGCTCGAGCCAGACACTCGGGCGCGCGCACATTTGCAGTATATCCCTGCCAAGTCAAGAACTGTGCCGTGCCAGGAGGAGCCTCGAGAGGCCAACAGCATAATGTGTCCTCTAGCATTAATGGCTGCTTCAGTTGACTGAAGGAGGAAAACACCTTGAAGAACCATACATTAAAAAAAAAAAACACTTGTCTTTCAGACATCTTGCTAAACACGCCTGGCCTCTTTCAGAGAGCACACTTACTCAGAGTATCATGGTTTCTGATTCGCATTATATTACAACAAAGGACACAACAAATTACTGAAACCAGAGGTTTAAACAGATTGTATTAAAATGACATAACCATTATTTATGTCATGGACATAAAAGTATTAGTTATATTACAGACATTAAATTAACTTTTTTTGTTCAGGTCAGTTATAATTTCCAAGTTAATTTCTAATTGCCAAATGTCCAGGTAATGAGAGAGAGATGTTGGTAAATATTTGATTGTATTTCTTTTAACATGCACTCGGAAAAAAAAAAGCAGAGTAAATGTAACAAGACTTATRTAGGCAATACAAATAAATCTYGTTACATTTACTCAACTTTATTTAATGGAACCACTTGACATAATTTGGTTAAGTAAATTCAACAAATCATTTTGTTGCATGGGCATGACTTGGCTCAACTGATTTGGGTATGCTTTGCTGGAATTGTGCCCATTTCCTCTTGACAGAACCAGTGTAACTGAGTCAGGTTTGTAGGCTGCCCTTGTTTGTCCATTTCTTTTCAGCTCTATCCACCAGTTTTCTTTAGGACTGAGATCAGGGTTTTGTGATTTCCTCTTCATTGACTTTGTTGTCCTCAAACCACTTTGTAAGTAATCCGGCAGCATGCGTCGAGTCGTTGTTTGTTTGGAAGGCCCATTTGTGCTCAAGCTTTAACTTTCTGATTGTTGTTTTGTCTTGTTCCTTCAATGCTTCCAGAATGTTCTATCCTCATAATGTCATCAACTTTGTGATGTGCACCAGACCCCTTTGCAACAACATACCCTCACACTGTGACAATGCCACCTCACCAAGTTGTTTTCATGCWTGCAATCTTTTCATTTCCCCGTTATCATACCAGTCTACACATTTTTTCATATTGTAATCTGTCTTTTTTACTTTGTGTTTGGAGCAATGACTTTTTCCTCACTGACTGACCTTTTCAGACGGTATTTGTACAGCTGTCATCACTGCCAATAGTGACATTTTTTARCCCATTTTAGTAGCATCTTTACTGGCTCTACTGCTTTTGTTTTAGGGTTAATACGCACATTTGACACAAAACTACATCTATCTAGGGAACACAGAAAAACCACTCTTTCCTGTGCAGTACAATGGCACGATATTCTCATGYTGTTTATGCTTATGTAAAATTGTTTAAACAGACAAACAACGAGCCCTCAGGCACCTGGGAATTGTAACTGAGGATGAACTAGAGTTTTGGTCTCAGACTGACAACTCAAATGTTGTCACCTAACCTCTTTTGTCAATTTGAAAGCTTCAACTGGGCTTTCACCATTGTTTGAAGGCATACAGATCTTTGTGTAAGTAAGCTTTTGGCTCAGAAGAAAGTGAAAATAAACAACACCATAGCAAATGGGAAAACATTAGAAGTCTCACTGACCTATGGCAGGAAAGGTTTAAACTGATTTATGTGGGTTCTTAAATATGTGTATGTAAACAACTGGTTTTATTTCATTTCATAAATTTTTATTCATTTTATTAAAAAAAACCCAAAATTTTATACACTATAAAAATAAAAAAATACAAACACAAYGAAATGAAGGGACGCAGAGAGAAGAACAAAATCTTCAAATGGTCTTAGACAAGAATGAGAAAAGTTGTAATGTGTCTATGGAAAAAAGAAAACTAAAAAAATAAAGAGAAATAAATGTAATTAATAGTTTCCTGGAACGTCATCAGTACTTTCCTCTCCTGCTGTTTCAGAAGATGCATCTCCATGCACGCAGAGGGGCATCCCATGCTCACAGCTGAGATTGCCTGATAGAAAATCCTGCTGAGCACGCATTGGCCCCTTGCCAGATATTCTTCTCATGAGAGTCATAACATCATCAAGCAACAAATTCGAACTTTAGAGGTAGAATAAAAAATACATATTTCTGAGCATTAGTGTGCACACAGCAAATATGAATGCACAAACTGTAGTGGGCTATTGGCTCGAGCAAAGTGCTCATTTTAAATCTATGATGCTGACTTCAACAAAATAAAATTTCSTCTTCTCTGAGATGGCAGTTAAAGTTGCCACATAATCGCTGCAAAGATTKTCATGAGAAAGCAAAACTAATTTTAGATGTTTTTTTATATGAGGAGGCAGGAATTCCTGCTGAAAAATGTAAGCAGGCCTAATAAAATAAATGCAAATTTRCTAAATAAAATTAAATAAACTTAGAAATTTTCATTGAGACTGGGTTTTTTGGTGCTTGTTTAAGTTCTTATGAGCAGTTGCCAAGCCACCACAGTGATGGCACTTAAGCATGACGCCGTTTCTACTTTTGAATATATTATTTCTAATTACTCCGATTTATCTGTAGAAATAAAATCTCTCCAGACTGCCAGAAAATATTATGCATGAACACAAGTCTTCCAATTAAGTAGAGGAACTTTTACACATTCAAACAGTTTCATAAAAACTTAATTTTCATGTATTTATTTATGCAGTTTCCACAAGTTAACAAAATGATGATTACTGTATGATCTAAATTATTCAGAGCAAAAATTTAAGAGACAGATGGAAACTGAAATTAGACTGTAGATTAAAATTGCACATCACACGGGAGTGTGCAAACTTTGCTTCTTGATTTCCTCAGCCAGCACATCAGCATTACATAAGGAGAAAAAGTAGGGCTTATCTTTTAATAACACAGCAGAAGAGAAAGGCAAACACCACCTCTCCTGCCAATAGCATATGAAAGACAAGAGACTTTGGTTTCAACAGAAACCCTGTGCCTGCACAGCTCATATCAGGGGAGCCTGCGGCTGCGGCACATCGTCTCTGCTGTCATGGACGTTTGCGAGGGACATGTAAACTGTGTTGAAGAGCCGTAAACAAGAGTTTCAGCACATCTCAGGCCAGGCTGACAGCGAGATTTTATCTGATCTCGAACCAAGCAGAGGAAAAGAGGACAGACCAGTCTGGTTCTGTTTAAACCGGAGATAAAACAAAGATGCTAACGGGGCATAAAAAACTGAAGCAGACACCTTTCAAAATGGACATCTTCACAGTTCAAATCTGTTTTTTTTTAATCTTTGCAGCTTGGTATCTTTGTTCCCCTCAGAATCACCTCCATCTTCTGCTTTGCTTTTATCCCTGCTAACAGTACCTACCTTTGTTTTCCAGATATATATTTCAGTCCGTATGATCTCAAAGTACCTGTAGGCATTTTATCCCTCAGTCTGTTTCTATGTTTATTTTGGCACTAACAATGAAGATCTGTTTCTAATACACAATCTGCTCATTAATATGCAGAAGCACAGTCAACTTGGTGTGAAAGCAACTTACCTTGTCCTTTCCTTGTTTCTGATCTTGATATACACTCCACCGCTCTCCATCGTTACTGTAAGCAAGTTTGTATGAGCCGACAAACTGGACGTGCCCAAAGTCTTTAGCTCCCTGGGTGATGATACCCGTAACCTTGGTCGGCAAAAGCAGGTCCACCTAAAAACAAACAAACAACAAAGGGACATAAAAAGAGAGAAGGAGAAACAAATCAAGCAGAATGATCGGTTTCCTCTCTTTAAGAGTTTAGTAAGTTAAAAATTGTTGACCGTGTCCGTTTAGTTTTTTTCTATTTTATACGATAAAGTCGGCATCATTTCTTGTTTTTTTCTTTCGACGTCAGCGGTAGATTTACTGAATAAAGACACTGGGTGCGAGTCAAGTCACTTTCAATTATTCACAGAATATTGAACAACAAGCCTAAGTCAAAGACTCGCCTCAGCAAAACAGAAATTGCACGCTGCAGCAGCTTCTGAGAGCCACGCTGCTCCATTTGGGTTAAATTTTAATGGGATCTCATTTGTTGCAAAGAATTTTACTGTGCAAAGTTACTCAGCAGCAAATGCATAAAAGTGCTACACAGATGAACATTTTTTTAATGATCACTTATGTGCTTAATCTATTAAAATACATATTCAGAGAAGTAGCTTTGAGACAGAAAGGAAGTTTAACTCTACCCTAAAGCAGGTCGACAACAAGAACACAAAGCTGTCTCTGCAACAAGGACAAAGTAATGCTTTTACATCTAAGCAGATTTTCAGTAAGTTAATGTCAAATGAATGATGTATCTAACAAAAGAAAGTAGGAGTTAAGTGTGAGTCATTGCTGGCTAACATGGGTATTTTAGTAAGGTGCATTGCTCACAATATCAAGTGTCTTATTATGTGAAATCTTTCACTCCTCCTTCACTTTCATCATTATGAGGAAGCAACTGTGTAACTATTGATGTTCATTTCTACACAGTGAGAAATGCCAACAGCATGTAGGTTCAAAAACAACAAAAAAAACTAAACTATTTTATACTTACTGATGCAAATACCAGACATTAAAATATAAAGAAATGCCCGTGGCTTCCCACTGAGGCTGATGTGCTTGCCATGTTGTTTTATAACCTTGTCAGATGATAAATTATAAATAATTAATGATGTTCCCTGATGGTATTTAAAGCTTAAATGTCACTGTAAAGCTGTCACATCGATGAAAGCAGCCTCAACTTACACGAAATGCTAAATGTATTTGACTGACAGAGATGGTGGGAAAATTTACAGGCATGTAGGGGAAATGTAAACGCACAGATTCTTTTCTTTATCCATCCATTTTCCGTACACGCTTATTCCTTTCAGGGTCGCGTGGGTCACTGGTGCCCATATCCAGCAGTCACAGTGCGAGGGGCGGGGTACACCCTGGACAGGTCGCAAGTCCATCACAGGGACACACATAAAGACAAACGAGACAAACAAGCATTCCCTCTCTCACTCACACCTAGGGACAATTTCTTTTCCTCCCTTATTTTGCTGAACATGCTATATAATGCTGCCATACCTCAAAATTATTGGGCTGGTCACAGGCCAGTAAATTTTGTATCATTCTGCCCTGAAATAAAAACACAAAAAAAACCAGGGCGTGCTCCTTGTAGATACAACTACTAGATAAAACAATACTAATGTGTGAGGTATTTATGGCTCTGTTTTGGTCTTGACATATGGCAGAACACCACAGTAAATCCTGGCACACCGCACGACATCTTTGTCGGCTGTTTTAAAGCCCTGGAACATGCTGGAGATATAAACATGGAGTCACTCAAGAGGCGTTGTCTCTCATAGGGTTTTAACAATGCATCTGAGCTTCTCTACCACCTATTTGAAGATTAAGGTTTGTTTCCCTGGATATTATAAAGGCTCCCTTCAATGCTAACTTCCTGCTGTGTCTATGTATGTGCGTAGGCATAAAAAAAGCAAACTTTTGACACTTTCCCAAGCACATACAAGGATCAAACATTCCAGCTCTCCATTTGTGAAACTTCCAGAAGCAGGACAAAAGTTTGAGTGTGGACACTTTATAATGCTGTGCTTAAAGGTATGCATTCATGCACATCCTTCATAGTGCACATATGGGTCTCATTTGTTGTGAATTCATTAATTTTTTTAAATTCTGCATGCACTTTCATTTGCACATCTTTGTTTTACCTATTAATAGCAAAAAATATAAGAATGAAAAAAAAAACGCAGTGATGTGTCTAAATACCAAAGTTATATAAAGTACTGTAAAATAAATAACTAAGTAAATAACTAAGTAAAAGTAAAATTACCCTAATGGAAAATGGTAAAGAATAATTTCACTTATCAGGAAAGTACTTAAATAAAAGTCATAAAAGTGCTCATAAGAATTGGGAAGGTAAAAGCAGAGGTTTATAGTAACTAAGTACATTTACTTTGTTACAGTACTTAAGTAGTGTTTTGGAGATTTGTAATTTTACCAATACATTTTAAATGGCTACTTTTACTTTTATTTCATTACATTTTAAAGCTAAAAAATTATACTTTTACTTCTCTACTTTAAAATGTAATACCAAGTAACTCAATACAAAATTAAATATGTTTGAACTCATCGTGAAATGTTTATGCACTCTAAAAAACGAAGTGTTAGATTTACTCAACAAAGTCATGTCAACTGACTCCATGAAGCCTAGTTGAGTAAAATGAGCAAAGTATATATACAACCTAGCTCAGTGGAACCAGTTTGGGTCAGTAAATTCAACAGTTTATTTCTTAGAGAGCATGTAAAAGTACTTTTACCTTTACTTTCTCAGTTCTTGTGAACAGTTTTATGACTTTTACTTTGAGTAATTTTCTCACCAGTTAAATTTATTTTTACCCAAGTAATTTTCTGTTCATGTAATTTTACTTTTACTTATTATTGCTGCTGTTATTTTTTTCAAGTACTGTACAGCCTCTGGGTAAAAGTACTTTTACACACACTGAAAGAAATTAAGTGTTGAACTTACTTAACTAAACTGCTTCCACTAAACGAAGCTGAGTAAATTGCTTTATAATTATTTTACTTGGTTTAATGAAAACCATTTGACATAACTTGGTTAAGTCAATTCAACACTTCCTTTTTTAGAGTGCATAAGCAACTGTATTCATGATGATTTCCAGTTATATTTAAATTTGTAGGCATTACATTTTAAAGTAAAGAAGTAAAATGATTAGTTTTGAATGTAACAAAATAAAAGTAAATGTTTCCATGAAAAAAAAAAATTGGTAAAATTACAAATCCTCAAAAAATATATATACTTAAGTACTGTAACAAAGTAAAGCTACTTAGTTAATATACACCTTTGCTAATGACATTAAAGCAACCATTCAGTTACCAAGACAAGAGCGTCACCACAAATGGCTTGAATAGAAGAAGCAAGGAGGAAACAGTGGCAGATGTTGCTTCGTTGATTCAAAGAGCCACGACACCTTACATTGGGAGGCTTTGATTATGCTCCAGCGGCAGAGCACAAAGGTAATCTTGTTCTACCCAGACAGTCAGGTCTGCCACAAAAAAACAAAAGGCACGCTTGAAGTGAAACCTGTTATTGCTGTCACAGGTAGCGGTCAAAAAATACGACCGCCCCTAGCGAYGCCGGCTCTCAACACTTTGATGGCCCAAACTGAATTAGGGAGTGAGATAAGCTTGTTACAGCAAGGTCTCTCCTCCGGCCCCCGCCTTTTGTTCTTTTTTTTCCATCACATCCTCAATCCTGCTCGCTCTTCCGTGAGCCTTTTCACCCAGACAAACTGGAAGCGTTTGTAGACTTTGTAACCATCGCTGAAYGCTCGTGGCAAAGATGTTCCAAAGAAATGAAACAAGAATTCATTTCACAGCTTCACCTCTTGTTTTTGAGATTACAAGGTAAGATTATTGGAGCTCTAATCTAGTTTTACCTGAAAYGAGGCGGCACATCCAAATGGAAGATCGGGCTAATTGGTTATTTGCACGTTTTCTGCACTTCTGCCAAAACACTTTTAACTTCCCTGCTGCTTATTAGGACAAGACTTAGTGTATCAATTTCATGTCTCCATTTCAAACGGCTCTGCCATTGCCATCTGAAAAGATTAATTCAGCAAGAGGCGTCTTTGAAAAACCCGAAGGAGGCCAAGTTTCTTTTTTTAATGAACACAGCACATATAGCTATAACACTAACATTCTCCCACCAGCTGTGCTGATTTTATCCAAGGTGATGAAGATTCATTTAATCTTCACAGTCTAAAGGGAGTGTGTGCGTGTGATGCATATTTTCTGTATATAGCTCACAGGGCAGAATTCGGAGATGCACAACTGGCAAAGAAATAAGGCAGACAGTGTTATGGTCCATCAACCCCACATCAGGGCGGCAATCATTAAAACTTAAAACCATAGTGAGAGAGTGAAAATAACATACTGAAATGCKCTTCTCACCATAGGAAGCTTTCATAAACCTATATAAGGGCTATTTTCTTTTTCATACATATTCTCACGGTTTTACACAGCAGTCATTATCCATAGTCTTTTAGCCAGTAAAACYAGCAGAAGAGCTAATGTAGGCTTTGCAGGGCATCAGTTGAACCTGATACTCAACTGTGCACTTTTCCACACATGAGTCAGCTGGCTGCAAATTGTAAATACTTTCTGTTCAGGAATCCCATGATATGTTTTATTTTATTTATTTATTTATTTTTTAAAATAAGGTGAGGGTATTGCAGGTYTTGCATCTTACAGAGTTTAAAAAAACTATAAGTGTTCAAGCACAAAGTTCAATAGGCACTTATTCTGAGAACTTTTTTAAAGACCAACATCTTCTCCAAATGAGCCCAATTTATTTTAACTTCTCCACAGAGTATTAGCTATGTGTGTTCACAGAACAAACATTTACAAGCTATTAGCCCACTATGGTGTGCTGATGCAAATTTGACCTCTTTATGATGCTCCCTAAGAAAACCTTACACCTAAGATAATTTACAAAGTGAAGAATGAAGCCACAGAGGATGTCTAGACAAATGGTTGAATGCCACATTTTGACTGATGAAAACTAATTTATCAAACTAATGATAGTAAAGTAAAAAGAAATGTAGTTTTAGAGAAAACAGTTTTTTTCACCTTTAATTGACCAGTACAAACAAATTATAATT